AGGCAAGACCCAGGCGCTGCCTTTAAATCTCCCCGTCCCGCCACTGTGGTGTCTGTCCTGCCTGGGTGCTGAGCTGGACAGAGTCCACAGGTGGGCAGGACTTGGAGGAGGCAGCAGGTGTGGTCTGTGCTATGTGTCTCCCAGCAGAGCTAGCCCTGCACTTGGCCATCACTCAGCATGGCCACCGCTGACCACCATGGACACAGCCTGCATGGAGGTCCTGAAGATGACACCATTGTGGTCCTGGGGGCCACACTGAGGCCCCTGTGTCCCTCACTGCTGCAGCCCTGGGGTCACACCCTGTGCCCTGTGTGTTGTCACCTCCCCTGGCAGTGGCACCCAGCCTCCACCCATCTCGGCCCCCAGGAGACAGACAAAGAGTGGGAGGCTGGCACAGCATGTCTCCACATTACCCATGGGAGTCAGCAGGGGTTGGGTACAGACTTGGGGCTATCTCCATGAAGCCACAGAGGGTGGAGAGGTGGGAGAGAGGTGGGAGGGACATGTGCCCATGTGTAAACACAGGTCCACATATGCCAGTGGTACACACGTGTGCACAAGTGCATGCCCAGGCTCAAGGATGGGCTTCTGGGTATACTCACCCCCTCAGTGTGAGCCATGGTCTATCCCGCCCATGTCCGGCCCAGTGTCCCCCTCCTGGACCCAGGAGGACCCCAGGCCCAGCCCTGCAAGCTGGAAACAGCCAGGGCCCCAGACTGAGGAGGCCGAAATTGGGCATGGCAGTCAGGGGCCATGCACGATCACCGTGATACCCAGGAAGAGGTTCTAATGGACACTAGGACTGGCCCTCTGGTCCAGTGCCAGCCCACAGTGTCCTATCCCCCAGGCTTTAGCTGACCACTGCCACGTCAGCCCCTGCCTGTCTCAGGCTGTTAGGTCCCTGAGGGAGACTCCGCTCCATCCCCAGCCCCAGGGTTTTGCTGCATGGGACCTGAGCCTGTGGGAAGTGGCGCAGAGTCATGGCGTGAATAAATCACACTGGAGACCAGGCTGATGGCATTGATTCAACTTTTAACATGTCTCCTGCCCTCTTATATAGGCAGGGCTGAGACCCGGATCGGGGACAGAGCCTAGATGGCATCCTGGAAGGTTGAGGGAAGCTCTTGGGGGTGGGGCTGTAGCGGAATGGCATCTGGCAGGGTGACTCACTTGGTCTGCCGAGGACATTCCAGGTTCCAAGTCTGCTCAGACCCTCTCCTCTGCCAGAGCCATCAACCAGACCCCCAGACCTTTACTTCCCATACCAGGGGGCCTGGTGAGAGATGCAGACACAGGCTCAGTGGGTTCTCTGGTCCCAGAATGGGCTCTGCAGCCATCCTTGGCCTCCAGTGGCCTCCGTGACCCTGGTCATCCCTGCACTGGCTTTCTGGCTCCTTGCACCCCCCACCCGCAGTACACGGCTGGGCCCAGTCCAGATGCAGGTTTGCTGCGCAGCCTCTTTATTCCCCTCCCAGTGAGCCCCAGTGGGGGAACAGCTGCAGCAGCACCGGCCCGTTGGCTGCCCAGGACGCTGCTGCACCTTTGCCGCGGCACCCACCACCCGTCCCAGCTCATCCTGCAGTGACAGACGATCAACTGGATCACTCTTGCCCAGGCCGTCCCTCAGCCCGTCCCCCACGGACAGCCAGGGACCTAGGCTGGGCCCCCGTGGGCATCTAGGCATGCGTGAAGGACACAAGGTCCCCACTCTCTGTAAAGAGGTCTCTCTCACCCTTAGGATGGGCACCGAGCTGGACAAAGTCAGATCCTTTAATCTAAGGCTGAGGAACAGGGCTGACTCTGGCTCTGCCAAGAGGACCAGAGGACACCGCAGGACTGGGCTGCCCCAGGACCCCTGCTAGCCCTGTCCGAGGACACCTCTGCATCCTTGGGCAGACAGGATCTCTGGGACACTCACCCTGAGTCCTGCCAATGCAACTCCACCATGCTCCTGGAAACAGAGACCCTGTCCTCAGCTCAGTGCCAGGGCATGAAGGGACATGGGTGCTTAGGAGTCCCCTAGTGGTCAGCAACTAGGGCAGCCCCAGGGGGAACTCATTTCCCTCAGGTACCTGCTTTCCTGGGAGCCCCACTCTAGGGACATGACTGGCAGGGCCCTGGGAGGCCAAGGCAGGAGGATTCCCAGCTGAAGTGGACAGTGAGACCCTGCCTAAAAAGCCAGTGTTGGGGGGACCTGCTGCAAGACTGAGTGTGTTTGAGGGGAGAGAACTTTGAGGATGACCAGCAGGAGGCCTTTGCTGTCATAGTCTTTCGCTGAGACTCTCACTATACGATCTCAGCACACCCCAAACTTTGGAACCTGGGACCTGCCTCCCCTCACACCCCATTTGGCTCTGAACCCATCTATGCAGGCTTGTGACTCTGGCAGATGTCACCCCACTGTGAACGTATGCTAGGGGTGGCCAGCGTCCTTTGCCGTCTGCACCCTGAACACAAACCTATTGGTCCCTATGTGCTTTTCCCTAAGTCTGAAAGCTAAGAAGTCCCAGGACCCATCAAAGTTACCCTGGGTGCCCAGTGCCCATCTATTGAAATGTCCACTTTCCCATGGGCATTTCTGGTGCCTGTGGGTCCCAGTGTGGGCCTTGCTTGGGGCCGAGGGTCTAGATTTGGGTACTAGATTCCATGGGAACTCACCCAAACCTGCAGCACCTGTGGCCTGGTGTCTGGAGAGGCCACAGACTTGGAAGCCCCACCTTAATCCAGGCCTGGCCACACTGAAGGAGGGGCATTTCTGGTGCCTGTGGGTCCCAGTGTGGGCCTTGCTTGGGGCCGAGGGTCTAGATTTGGGTACTAGATTCCATGGGAACTCACCCAAACCTGCAGCACCTGTGGCCTGGTGTCTGGAGAGGCCACAGACTTGGAAGCCCCACCTTAATCCAGGCCTGGCCACACTGAAGGAGGGGCTGCCCTGGCTCCTGAGGGCAGTGCTCAGAGATGGGGCGCTGCTTCTATGTGGGCCCACATCAGCCTTGGTGGCCCTGGCCTCCCTGGGCAGCCGCCCACCAGTGGGGGATGCCAGCTAAGTTACCCCAGCCTGTGACCTCTCTCTTAGAAAGGGACACTGGTGCCAAAGCCACCACCTCCCCTGCTGCTGTCCCCAGTACCATGGGGCCAGCTGAGCCCACGTGGCCAGTGTGGCATGCAGCCTTAGTGACCTCGTCCCCGTGGAGTTGGTTTTATGACAGAACCAGGGCCTATGTGCAGGACCCACTAGGGCTCGTCCTTCAGAGAGGAATCAGACAGAAGGGGCTGCAGCAGGGACAGGCGGCCCAGCCAGCCAAGAACCAGGAAGTGGCGGGCACCCAGGGACACAGGGCAGAGGCAGGCAGAAGCATGTGGCACAGGGCACAGCTAAAGACACGAAGGGGTACAAGGTCAGCGGGCAGCCGTAGCCACTGAGGAAGCTGTGCCAGGTAGGGACCGGGCGCTGCCCACTCACCCCTGCTGAGAGGACAGAAGCTCAAGCTTGCTTTCTGTGGTATGTCACCACCATGCCCTCCATGGCACCACCATGCCCTCCATGGTCCTCGAGTCCCTCTCCAGCACAAAGCCCTTCTCACGGGAGGCCACACCGAGGATAAACCGGGGCCCCAGCAGCTGCATGGAGGCCGGCAGTGGAGAGGTCCCCACTATCCTCACCATCGCTGCTGGGGAGCCCCAGGTCCTTATGCACCCCCCACCCCAATGCTGGTCTAGCCTGGCCCTGGGGGACCGAGGTTGTGCGGCTTCCCGGGAGGGGCCTGGCACCCCAGGGCCACCGTGCTGCCCAGAGGGGTCACCTGCTTGGAATCCAGTCGGGCCTGGGCCCTGGGCGTGGACACTAAAACCAGGAGAGTGGTCATCCCCATCCTGTCAGAAGTTCACACCACACACGACACAGCTCTGCCTGCTCTGCCCCATTTTTATGGCTGCATCAATGGACATGTGGGCAGCCCCAACCAGCGACACTGGCTCGGCTGCTCTTCTGGCAAAGCAATAAAATGACCCAGGGCACTCATTACACAGGGGTCCTATGCACAGCAGGGCCCCTGCTAAGGGGCCATGTGGGCTCCTCCCTGCTTTCCTCCGCACTCCCCCAACTCAAGTCCCCAGAATGGGCATCCTCGACTGGCCACCACAGCCCCAGCTCATCCTGGGAAGTCCCCGGCACAGCTCTGCAGAGTCCAGCGGGGCAGCGAGGCCAAGCCCACAACCAGGTGTGGTGGGCAGGAGCAAGGGGCCCTGCCAGAAACCACCCGAGGCCTGGGTTCCGGTCCAGCCATTAAATAGGCCTGTTCCCCAGACGACTCCCACCCCTCCTGGGCTCCCACCCTTCTCTGCCTGCCAAGACTCCTCGGAAGGTCCCCTGGCCAGATGGTCCTCTTCCTCCTGCCCCATCGAATCTGCCCACTCTCCAGCCCTGTGGCCCCAGCTCCATCTGTGCCACCCCAGGGCTCCAGGAGCCGTCTGCAGCCTGCACCTCCAGCTGTCAGATCATGGGAGCCCCTGCGGGGGAGCCTTGTGGGGTCTAAGCCCACACACCTAGGGGAGGAGTCCGGGGTCTTCAGACCTCAGCCCCCACTGCAGGGCCTTGCTGAGCACTAGTGATGGGCTGGGGTGTGGCCTGTGTGGAGTCTGCTCTTCCCCATGGGGCTGTCCTGCTCCTCACCTGAGCCAGCTTCTTGTGGATCAAGACAAGGCGGGCACTGCAGTGCATCCTGGTCCCACAGCTGTGACACAGCCAGGGGACAGAGAAGGCCAGCAAGCGCCTGTCTTTTCTCAGCATCACAGCCACTCAGCTGCACTGCACAGGCCGAAGGCTACACCCCCGGCTGGGCCCATAGGGGTTCAAGAGGGGCATGGATGGGAGTTCCGGGGCAGCTGGCACCTCTGCTCACCCACCCCTACACCAGCCTCTCCCAACACCCTAAGACACACACACCTAAAAAGAGCCCCACAAACTCCACACCGAAGAACTAACAGTTCGAACCACGGAGTAGCCAAACCTAGGTTTTAATTCAGCTGGAGTTGTCACCTGTTCCACCTGGCCTGCCCCACCCCCGGCAGGCAGCCATCTGGTGGCTCCTGCTACACCTTTTACAAGAGCCCGCCCCACCCCAGGGGCTGCTACAGCAGGGCAAGGGCATCCTGGCTAAGAAGAACACCTCAGTGTCCAAGCCCTCCAGACAAAGACACAACTTCTGCAGACGAGCTATGTTTAAGGGGCTTTCGGTCGGGGCAGGCAGTGCTGGGGATTGAACCCAGGACCCTGTGTGTGCTAGAAAGCACTCTACCACACACTACCCTAGCCACAACACAGGGACTTCTCAGGTGCCAGGAAGAACCACATTTTCCAGCAATCAAGGTGCTAGATTCAAGTCCCAACAAGTCTGCCTCGTGTCTGTTCCCCATAGAGTGGACACAGACACCATGTGAGGGTGGCTGAGTGCTGTTCCTGGCAACGAAGTCCCAAACACCTCTGAGGGTGGACAATGCCGATGGGCCTGGACTGGGCAAAGGCCGGGCAAGCTGGGCTGTCATGCGCAGGAGCAGGGGTACAGCGCTCACAGCAACAGCTCAGGACTGCTCAGGGCGGGGGTCCGGCTGCCCCGAGGGCTTCTCTGGGTTTTGCAGCCGAAGCAGGGCCTCCATCTGCCTGCGCTTCTCCTTGGCCCGGTTGATGGTGGTCCGGAAGAGCCTGCAGAAGAGGTGGACTGAGGCGGGTGAGTCGTCGTTGCCAGGGATGGGGTAGGTGATGAGGCAAGGGTTGCAGTTGGTGTCCACGACGCCAACCGTTGGGATGTTCATCTTGGCTGCGTCCCTTATCGCCACGTGGGGCTCGAAGACATTATTGAGCGTGTGCAGGAAGATGATGAGGTCTGGCAGGCGGACCGTGGGGCCGAACAGCAGGGGAGCGTTGGTCAGCAGGCCGCCCTTGAAGTAGCGGGTATGGGCGTACTCACCACAGTCCTGGGCCATGTTCTCGATCAGGTGTGAGAACTGCCGGTTGCGGCTCACAAACAGGATGATGCCCTTGCGGTAGGCCACATGGGCAATGAAGTTTAAGGCCAGCTGGAGGTGGGAGGCCGTCTGCTCAAGGTCGATGATGTCCTGGTCAAGGCGGCTCCCGAAGATGTAGGGCTCCATAAACCTGTCAGAGACCCCACCGCCGGAAATGAGGATCCACCAGGTCCACTCCACTGGCCCCATCAACCTCCCACCTCCTGCCTCTTCCGGTGGAGATCTGATCAGGACTGCCCCAACTGAATGTCTGATGTGTACCCATGACACATAACGCACACTGACCGGCACCTCCTTTCAGCAGTACCTTGGTCACCCTCCTGTGGGACTTCCCCACTAGGTGGCCAAATCTCACACCACACGTGCTCAGAAGGTCCCCAGGTCTGCCTGTAAATTGCACTAACGCTCCGTACAGCTGCTGATGCTCAGCCTCACCCTGCACATCCCATTCCAACCCGACCCACTCTGCCCCTGCTGTCCCGCCTCTCCTGTGGCCCCAACACCCCCCCTTCACAGCCATCTCCCTCACTAGTCTCCCATACCCTCTAGTCCACTCTCCATGCAACAGTGACCACATGGGAATATCTTCTCAGGTACTGCAGCTGCCTTCAGCCTAGAAGGCCCTGCAGGATGCCATATGGGGCCACTTCACAGCTGGAACCTTCTCTGGCCTAACTGTCCCTGACTCTGGGAAGCCTCAGCCACTGGCAGATTGGACACGCTGCTGGCCGCACGCTGAGTCCCTCAGGAGGATGAGCGACAGCCCCTCCTGACAAGCCAGTACTAACAGGACTTTAGACCCAGGCAGGACCTTTTGCCCTAGGAACCACCACTGCGACACATCTGGCGCGGGCTACCTGTGCCGACAGCCGGCTTTATGTCCCAGGTGCACTCGGGCATCGAACAGGCTTTTCACGGAAAACAGCTCCTTGACCCTGAAGAAGTCGGAGTGCCGGAGAGGCTCGTCCAGGAGCTTCCTCTGAGCATCTAGGGAGTCAGGAGGAAAGAGTACTGTAGTCTGCCGCCCCCTGCCCACCCCAAAACCAAGTGTCTCCCGTCACAGAGCTGGGGAGGGCAGGAGTCCAACAGCAGTGGATGCCCTGCTCCTCCGGAAAGATAGGGAAGCCCAGGCAAACTGCAGGCTGCAGCTGCGTTCTGATAGGGGCTCTGCTTCTGGGGAAACCAGCCCCCGGTGCCCTTGGAAAGCAAGGAGGAAGGGAGAAGGCTCTGTTGGGCTTCTGCGGCCTGACTGGCCCCATGGCTACCAGGCACAGCACACTACCGTGCATCGCGCGGGAAATGCCTTGTTAGGGGTCCACCAGATGGACAGCGTGGGGTGTGGTGCTCACAGGGCCCTGGGGCCATCGGAGGGCTCCGAGGTCCAGCGCCAGGCCTGGGCTGCTGCCCTGACGGCCACTGTTCCCACCGGACCCCGGGAAGTGCTGGGCCAAGCCGTGCGTGTGGCCCCAGGGCAGGTCCTGAGCCTGACTCCCTCCGCCAGCCCCGTTACCTCCGTCGCCCTCCAGCTCGCCGACTTTGGGGACCGCGGCGCCTCCGAGAGCCCTGCAGGTGGGCCGTGCCGGGCACGCGGCAGCCGTCCGCAGGAAACCGGGCCGGACACCTGCGGAGAAAGAACTGTTGGGCCACGCCCTCCTTGCCTGCCCGCCCTGCCGCCCTGGCCAGGGCCCGGCGGCCGCTCACCTGCTTTCAGCAGCCAGGACAGCGCGGACAAGGAAGACGCCATGGCGGAAGCGCGGACGGAAGCCGAGCGACGCTTCCTTCCCGCCGGCCCAGGGTCGCTGCAGCCGTAGCTGCCGCGCGCGGAGCCACAGCGCCACCTGCAGGCTGGGAGGACCTGGAAGGCGCAACGTCACGTCTCAGGCCCCGCCCCTGGAGATGACCCCGCCCCCAATAAGCCCTGTCCAACCTCCTCCGCCGCCTGGGTCCGGGAGCCGCAGCTGAGCTTACAGCCAGCGTCTGAACCTCACTTGCCCAATGTGCAGGTGGCACTGCAGCCCGTCAGCTTCTGTTCGGGACCCAAGGCCTTGGGTTGCACGTGTCCCGAGGTCGCTTTCTACTGTATTTTGGGACAGCCCTGCAGCTAGCCCCAGATCCCCACAATGTGCTGGGGGCTCGTGGCCTCTCTACAGGACAGTCCTCGTAGTAACTCCTCTCCATCCGCACTTGTCAAGCCCCCCTCATTCTGTCGTCCCGAAGGTTCTAGACCTTCCAGGGAAGAGCCTTTGTCCCTTAGCTCCTCCTCGGTCACGTGATGCTGTCGCCTAGCAACGAGAGTCGCACCACAGCCTCGGTGGAGCAGAGCTGGCCTGCTGCCAGGGCCAAATGTCCGAGGAAAACCCCCAGGAGTGTGTGGAGCCTGCGCTGCCCAAGGCCGAAGCGCCCCTGGAGAAAACCAGCGACTACTACCGCGTGAGCGAGCACCTGCCGACCCGCTTCAACAACCCGGGGTGGTTTCGTGGCTACAGGTGAGGGAGGTGGAGCGATTCCAGATGCACCAAGAAGAGGAGCACAGGGTGGCTGGCTAGGTGCTCAGGTGGGCCTGTGTCTGAGACCCCCAACATCACGAACCCCAAAGTTGCTGGCCACAAGTCAGCCTGGCGCTGTGGTGCCGCCGTTAACCACCAGTGAGCCCTGGAAACTCCTGAAATTACCCCAGGTTTGTGTGGGCTGTAATCAGCCAGAGTCAGGAGTGCTGTGACCCCAAGTCACAAGCCCAGCTCAGGTCCCAGTACCGGCTCCCCTGTATTGGTGCAGCCCCCTACTGGAATTGACCTGTGGTCAGCAGTGGAGGTATCACACCATGCAGCCCTGGCCCCTTACTCATCTGCACGGCACAAGCATTGCTTCTCTGTGCTGGCACTCATATGCACACGGAGCTCTCGGATGGCAGGGCCTGGAAGTTGGGCTGTGACTCCTGACCATGTAGCTCACCTCTCCAAGCAGTGGCAAGCCATGCCAAGGCCCTGCGGTGGTAGCTGAGGCTGGCATGTGCCCTCAGACTCCCACTGGGGTATTGGCATGCAGCGGAGTGAGCAGGGCCACCCGCCAGCAGAGGAAGCCAGGAGGCAGGCTTGCCAGCAGCAAGCGGTCAGCCCGCAAGGGACGGGGGCCCACATCTGTGCTGCACCACCAGCTGGGACACTTCATTCTGCTTGGGGCTATTGCCAGCAGAGCTCCACCACCAACCAAACACGAGCTGTGGCCTGGGCAGACTCAGGGTACATGGACAGGAGGATGTGTGTGTTTCTCCTCCACAGGGCCAGGGAGGCAGCCTCGATGTACAGGACCAGTAACCAGGTTTATGGGAGCAGAGCACCCACCGTGCATGAGATGCCGGTATGTGGAAAAGGGCACATTGGGAAGGCAAGGGGTGGTGGCCCGAGGACCCCAATTCCAGCGTCAGGAAGAGGAGGTACCTTGCCTGGTGTTGAAACAGGGCGGAGGAGAGATGAACAAATGCATGGAGAAGGAAAGTGTCTGAGAGAGGGAGGACTTGTGAGAAGACTTGCTGCGTGTGACTCACACTTCTGTGTACACAACCACACACAACCTTCACACATACACCCGGCTTTCACCTAGGCACACAGCCCTCACACACAGCTTCGTACATTGGTGCAACCATTTCTCTCAACCTGAGGCAACCGGCTCTGGGGAAAATAAATGCCACTTTCTCTCTGAATTAAACTTTCTTTTATGAGCTACTCATCGTGACCGAGAGGCAGCAGGTTGAGGGCTGAGGTTGCCCAACGGGCATACCGCCTTCGTCCCCTCCATATAGGTGCAGGGAACACACAATTTAGGCCAGCGTAGAATCCCCAGACCACTAGGGCCATCCAGTTTGGGGTGCCTCTGTTGTAGGGAGTTTCAAACAGTTGAGCCGCCAGCCTGTCCCTCAGTGATTTGCCCAATTGTAAAGGAACACATTTCACTGCTTTCTCCGAAAATATTTTTCTCCCTGGAAAAGAGCAATATGCAGAAACCAGGCTGTGGTGTTATGCTTTCCCTATTTTACATCTACCATCCACACTGTGAAGAGATGTTGATGGCTTGACTTTTCTATTACAAATGTCGCAATGGCCCTGATGTCCAGCTTTCCTGACGTGTGGAATCCTAGGACCATGACCATGGCCTGGAAGCAGGGGCTGCGGGGGAGCCCCACTGTGCCTGGTACTTAGTTGTGTTGTGTGATACAGCTCTTGTGAGATTGTTGATCAAAAAAGTTTCTGGTGGGCTAGAGAGAGTAGCTCAGTGGTACAGCTCTTGCCTAGCATGTGGGGGGCCCCTCTGGATCCAATCCCCCCCAGGCATATACACACATATGCGTGCACATGACATGTGTACACAACGAGACATTTCTGGAGTTAGTCCCTCACAATCAAGAGGTTCTTCTAGCCCTTCCCTAGGGATCAGGCATTTTTATGAAATAGCAGGTGTGCTATTGTGTAAAAATAGCTCCAGATGTTTCTGTTTTCCAAAAGTAGTAGCATCTCTTTAAGTCAGGTAGGAGTTTTGTGTTCACCAGTGTTAGCTGGCAAGGGCAGGGGAGGCAGGAGACCGGACTCCAACAGCAGCTGTTGGCTGGGCAAAGTAGGTCCCAGGGTCACTCAAGGCCTGACCCCAGGTTGGTGCTCTCTCTGATGCTCAGGTGTGGAGAGGCCACACCTGGCTGGCTCCAGAGCTTCTTTTTTGTCAACAATGATTGCTACGCGGCAGGCACCAGTTGGGAGGGCCAGGGGCAAACTAGGCTACCTTGCCCTCTGGCTTCTTAGATTCCTAAGAATGGAGCTGGTTTTCTTTTTTTTATCCTTGCAAATTCTTAATCTTCTTCCCCGTGTACCCAGCTGTGGTTCAAGAGGATTATCCTGCGCCGTTAATCCTAGTTTTTCTTTCTCTTCCAGAAAGTATTTTACTCAAATTCAAGTAAGTTTTCCAGACAGCTCTCAGCTTGTGGAATGTTCCGGGATAACACGCTCAATGTCTGCATGGAGAAGAGCATCGTGACGGGCCCAGACAACTACATCACCCCCTGTGATCGGCTTAACTTCCACCCCAGTTACAACGTCAGCAGGCCGTCCTTCTGTGACTAGGGGGCGAGTCTTCCACTCCAGCCGCCAGCCTGTCCCTCAGTGATTTGCCCAATTGTCAAGGAACACATTTCACATCTTTCTCTGAAAATATTTTTCTCCCTGGAATAGAGCAATATGCAGAAACCGGGCTGTGGTGTTGTATTTTCCCTATTTTATATCTACCATGCACACTCTGAAGAGATGTTAATGGCTTGGCTTTTCTATTTCAAATATCACAAGGGCCCCAAATATCCAGCTTTCCTTATGTGTGGCGTCCTAGGATCATGACTGTGACCTGGAAGCAGGGGCTGCATGGGAGCCCCACTGTGCCTATATCAGGGAGCCACTACTGTACACATGATCGATTGCCCCCGGCTGGAGTCTGTGCTGACACTGCAGGGTCCCCACTCAGTGCATGGGGTGCCTTCTGGGGAGGGTGATAAGCACATGGCAAGAGCAGGTACCTTGTCAGCAGAGCTCAAGAAGGTGGCGCTGCTGTGATTTATTCAAGGTGCCAATGGGTAGTGACGAGTGAACATCCCCCAGCCACAAATTGGGTGGGGACAGGGACAATGCATGAGGGTGACCAGTGCCAGCCTCTATAGTGATATGCACCTGGCAGGTGGGGGTGGTGGTGTCTATGTTTATTCTAAAATCTCAAGGTTGAAAGAAAGGCAAGAATAACTAATAATTTCCTTTGGTGTAGGTAATAACCCCACTAAGTGCATCCTCATCTCTGGGTCATCCTAAGTCAGGGTGCTCCATTGAGCCACAAGGTCATCAGCAAGAAAAGACTTTTGTACCAGGATGTAGCTTTCAGACATAGATTTTTTTTTAAAACTCTATGAGAGTAAGATACACTCCTTATAGGAAATTCCATATAAGAAATCATTCTTCTATGCCATCAATAATACCTTGTGTCAAGAGATTTTCTCCTAGGGATTCTACTCACTCATGAATTGGGGAAGAAATTGACCATCACCATGGGTTATTCAGTGTAAAACTCACGGCTGCCGGGAATGCACGCAAGAAGACACTTGCCAGCAATTCGGGACGGGAACGGTTTCCAGAGAAAATCAATGGAGCTTGTACAAAACATACAGCCCGAGCCTGCAGCCAGGATCCACGTACTGTCTTTTGAACCAGAAAACCAGGAGGGCACACATCAAACTGCAGAAAAACTTCCTGCAGTCCTTAAAAATATCAAAATGCTTGTGACCCTTTGGAGTTTAGTGTCACTGAAATAAAAGAGTCTCTAGCAGTGCGACAAAGAGTGGGTTCCTTTTTCAACTAAGACTCTGAGCAGCAGGTTGGCAGCTCTAATCCAGCAGTGCCATCAGGCTGGATGACTTTTTCTTTAGCTGGGGACGGCTGAGCACCTGTTGTCCTGCTGTGAGGAGACAGAATCACTGTCACCGCAGCAATGTGCTGGTCCAAGGGCACCACTGCACTGGGCAGGATCCCCAGGCCCAGGCTGAGGCACCCACAGGAGCCTCATGAGCCAGGAGCACCCATTGGCATATGGGGTATGTGGCAGCCCAGGAGCTGAATTCACCACAGACTTTCCCGGGTTTTGCCATGCTGGCATCCCGGTGGCAAGTGGAAAGTCTTTCATTGGTCATGGCTGCTAAGACGCTTATTCTGTATCTGCTGCTGCTGAATGGATGGATGGATGCAACGTTAGGCTCTGTAAGTATCTAGAAGGATGCAGACCCCTTCAGATATAACATCCACACCTACCTCAGTCTGTTCTCTTTGGCTAGATCACAATCTACAGGCTAGGTAACTTAGAAGAGGTTTATTTGATTCTCACTTCTGGAGGCAGGAGGTCCCCAAGCCTGGCATTGGTCTCCCTCAGTACCCTGCAGGGGCCTCCCTACGGTACCCTGGCATGGTGGAGGGCACGAAAGGTAAAACTGGGCAACTGCTTAGGAAATACTAATGCTGTCCTGGGGCACACCCGCAGTGAGCCCAGGCCCTATAGCTCCACCTCCAGACCCAGTCACAGATGAATTGGGTCTTACATTTCCCATACATGAAATCAGGCTTGCATTCAAACCATAGTGATGTCCATCTCCCCCGGAATTCAGTAACTGTCCCCTTGTCCTCCTGCGTCTCTCCATTTCTCTGCCACCTTAGGGTTCTCAAAGGGCTTTGACATCATCTCATCAGATCCTGACACCAAGAAAAAGCCTCAGATGGTGTGGCTTCACTCACAGGTGGGAAGAACAGGCTCCAGAAGGGTCCTGTGGTCAGCCTTGGCTTCGAACCCTCCTTGGGGATGGGCTGGGACAGAGGCTGAAGGCTTCCAGCCCTTGGCCCCAGAGACAGAGCCCAAAGTTTATTTGGTCACAGAGAAACTGCAGTGATTAGAAATTTCAGGACAGCAGCAAGGATCCAGCTCAATGGCACAGTGCTTGCCTGGCAAGCTCGAGGCCCTGAATTCAATTCCCAGTAACAACAAGAAGAAATAAATAAATACAAGAGAGAGAAAGAAGTTTTAGGACTGCATCTTTTTAGCATATTTCCAACCTGAAATCTTTGAGAAAAAAACGAGAGTTTAGATAAACCAGTCTAATGGAGGGCTGAAAGGGGTGCCGGGTTTGGGGAAAACACACAAAACAGACAAAAGCAAACTGTCTGTGATCCTGTCCCAACCCACCTGTTACTTTCTCACAAGCTTAAATCCCACGGGGAATGTGGCGGACGAGGAGGGGTGGTGAATGTTTTCCCAGACATGGATCGGAACACAGCAAGGCCACAGCAGTTTCTGCAACTCTACGCCGCCTCACCCAGAGTATGAGTGGACTGCGGCTTTGCTTGGACTTGGAAACATAAAGGTTGGAAAAACTATTTCACAGCACCATACTGATCACTTAGCGGCTAGGTTGGTTCAAAACCAGTCACTCCTTAATCTAAAAGTACATTTTCATGAACAGTTCTGTAGTTTTTGCCTTCCGGCAACCCTTTATCTCTTTATAGTCAGTCAGAATAAATGGTTTCAAATGTGTGGTGAAAGATGCTGATATTAATACTAACCATTTGTATTCAGTGCACAAAATAACAGAAGCCTCAGTTTTGCAAATAATGGAATGTCAGTCCTTACACACAGACACAAAGGGTGGAGGCAGTGTGATTTTCACACAATGGGGTCCCCCCTGGCTTTTTTCAGCTTTCCATTCACTGGTTGGGGCACAGTAGTGCCTTTTGTATTTGTGGGAACAGATAAGATCCTTACATGCTTTTCTGTGGCAGATTTAAGAGACTTCAATGATTGTCTTATTTTCCAAGGCAAATAAATCTCAGTTGGAAAACCTGTCTGAGTCACATAAAGGGTGACTCTGACCCTCCCCCAACAAGGGACCTGAGACCTCTTACCATTAGAGACCTCTTACCCCGCCCCATTCTTGGCATTAAATGAACCAGAGCCCCAGCTGCCCTCCTCAGAAAGTTCCAGGCCTTCTGGAACCTGTAGGTGAGTCACCCCTGTAATGACACCCAGTCCACGGAAGGGACTCTGTTACAGAGGGGGTGCACACTTATTCCTGTCGCAGCCGTGTGGATTCCATGTACAGGTGCGCTTCCCTCCCTGGAAGATTGGCAGAGGTGCCAGGAGAGGGCGGCAAACACACAGATGTTGTCAAAACCCTTCCCACAGGAAGAAACCCACTGGACACTGCTGACCTTGTCATCGGCCCTAAACCCAGCAGGAGGCTGAGGGTTGACCCAGCACTGGCCAGGGTTGACCCAGTGCATAGGCTCTGGCGCTGCACGGCAGAGGCAGCAGCAGGGATGGGCGTGACAGTGCAGTCAGGTTCACGTTGTTTTTGAAAACGATGGCACTGAATCTCATCCACTGACCCTGGAAGTTAGTTCTGCTGGACGTAGGAAAAGAGGAGACTCGGGGTCCCACAGGTCACTTACTGAACTACTGTCAGGAGGGCCACTAGGTCAGCCACTCCCTCCCAGGTGACAGGAACGCCTGACCCTGGGTGTCTGCGCAGATGTCCTTGTCAGCTGCAGAGTGACCACCAGGAGGTCCTGGCAGTGACACACACCTCCACTCTCAAACTGGAAACGCCATGACCCTGGGCCTCAGCAGGTTGTCCTTGATCGCGGGGAGGGGTTGGTGCAGAGGACCAGCAACTTGGAAGGACAGGTAATGGGTCCCTTGGTTTGGGGGAGACTGGTCCTCTGCAGGCAGGGCGAGGGGACAGGCTGAGGGGCTCTGGGCACTAAGCCCACTCTTTTGTGGGTTGCAAATCCCCCTTTGCCAGCAATCACCAGGGCCCTGATGACCTGGGGTATCAGCACCCTGTACAGACCAAACTGGTCACACAGACATGGGGGACAGAGCACACAAGCAGATTTGTGGGTAGTGCTGGATTTATTCATTAAAAAAAAGAAAACAGTTCTTATATACAAAACAAGCTGACCTTTTTTTGGCAGGGATTAAAAGCACTCTTTAAAAAAATTAAAGTTACACCATGGGTTACATGGAATTTTTTCTTTTTCTTCCCAGAAGCACTTAAGTGAACGAATACGTCACAACAAGGCTATCACAAGTACAAGACGGCTCAGGACAGAGAAGGGACAGCAGGTCTCATTCCTCACAGTGACAACCTAGCAGACACGTGTGTCCGCGTTTGGGCTTCAAAGTGGCCCAAGGTTAGAAAATCTACTCTCACCTTAGAACAGGACCAAACTCAGCTACAGCAGGCTGCACTGCAGCTGCATGTGACGGCGAACTGCCACACTCAGGGTGAGCGGCCTCCAGCGTCCAGGATGGCTTCCATCTCCAAGAAGCCACAGGCACCTCAGGGTCTCAGGGCAGAAGGCCAGGAGGTCAGAGCCTGTTAACACCAAGCACAGGGGCCACTGCCTGGGCATGGCAGCCACAGAAAACCACATCCCCAACTATTTTCCAGGTCCTGAGGGGAGCCCTGTCCCCAGCGGGCTCTCCGTCAGCCTTTGGGGACCAACCACCTAACAGCTGGTGTTTGTCCACTCACACGCACAGACCAAGAACAGGACGGTCACAACACCCATGTGCTGCTGCCTTTCAGAAGCACGACTACAGTGCAGAGCCCGGGTGGGCAGGGGCTTATGGAGATGCTCGCCACCTCGTGACCGATGAGCTGGACACGGGATGACCAGGCCAGGCTCTGGGCCCAGCGGCACAGTGAGCACCACCCGGGGAGGGGGGGTGGCCTCAGCTGACTCCTGCATGAGACAGTGCTCCCCTGGGCACCACCTCACTGGCCGCTGTGCTTTTCAAGGTTAGGGCTGCGGTTTCAGGGGAAGTGCGCCGACTGCTAGACACCAGGGTGTTCTTCAGTGCTGTTGCAGGAGTTTTCCGACTGACACCTCGGGCATGCACTTCCCTAGTTCAGGACAGAGCAGCCGTCACCTTCCAGGGTTAGGTTTCACACCGGCCATGTGCCCAGAGACCAGGCTTAGGCTTGGTCCCCCATGGTGACATAACCACCAAATATTTCCTTATCCACAACTTGTATGCCAAACACAAAAAACGAAAGTTACAGTATCAACCGACAGTATTGTTCAAAAAATATTTTTACAGCACTTTAAATATTTTACAAAAAGCTACAAAAATCATATTTACTGGGCTATAATCTGTTAAATAAAAACATCCGTTCCGTGTTAGTGCACATATGTACAGGGCTCCTATGGACAGGGGACTCTGATTTACCCTCTGTGACTGCATCACCTATGCACGCACACATGTACAAATGCACACACACGGGCACCCACTGCTGTCCACGGGTGGGACAGAACCAGGACCAGAACCACCTATCACAACTTGAGGACTTTGCCCTTTACCACAGAGCTGCCGCCGCCACCATCCTCCACAGAGGTGTCACTGAACTCGCTGGCATCACTGCCCAAGGCCTCCTGGTCCTGGTCGTCCCTGTCAGTGACCCTGTGTGGATACCTCAGGTCTAAAATGTTCTCCTCTGAACCTGAGTTCTTCTTATGCAGACCAAGCCTGGCCTGGGCCTTCCTGTTGGGCCAGTGTCCACTGTCCTTTGTGACCTGGTTTGGGCTTCCAAACACAGGGCCGTGGCTGGCCGGGGTCTCTCTGAAGGCCGAGAAGGAGGGCCCCTGCAGAGGCAGGCTCAGGGGGGCACTGAAGAGGCCGGTCTGAGTGGCCCCCCAGGGGACACTCTTCCCAAAGTGAAACAGCTGGTTGGACAGCAGAGAAGGGAAACCTGGGAAGGCCGGGCCCTTCCTGGGGTCTGAGGAGAGGCCAGGTGGGCCCCTGGCCTGCACCTCAGCTGCTCCCTCTCTCTCGGCCCCAAGGCCCCCTGTCCACACCAGGCCTCGGCCATCCGAGTTCAGCACCCATGGGCTGGGCAGCCTGCTCTGGTGGGCCAGGTTGCTCCAGGGGAGAGACAGGTCGACCTGGTGTCCTGGGCTGGGGGTCAGCAAGCTCTGGCTCCCGTAGTTCACATGGAAACTTCCTCCAGTGCTTCCGGCCTCGGCTGCTGCCGCTCTGGCACAGCTGGGCAGCTGGCCGAACATGCTTTCCACAGTGGCAGGCTCGGCCCCCCTTGGGCTCTGGTCTTTGTGAGCATAGACGCTTTTCCAGCTCGCCGGGGAACCTTTGGCAGAGATGGTCCCACTGGTGCTCTTGGGCTGTGCTGGCTCACATCTGCCCAGGGCAGCAGGGACGCGAGGGGCACTCTCGTTGCGGGGGGTGCCCTTCCCACTTGGACCAAAGAGACTGGCTGTGCCCTGCACCCCAGCTCTTTCTACAGCCCTTGGTCCATCCACAGGCTGAGGGCCACTGCCCCTGGCCCTTTGGCTCCGTGTGCAAACCCCGTGCTGCACGGCTGGGGCCAGCTCTCTCCTGCACAGCACCTCCGGCCTGGCCGGACCCTCCGTTCCCAGGGTAGTGGGGGCCTCTCCGTGAATTTCAGAAATACTCACTGACTCCTTGGCCTTTTCTGCCAAAAATTTCTGAATCTCCAGTTCGATGCTGTCGTCGCTGTCCACTGAACTGTCCTCAGACAGGGAGCTGGTGCTGAGGGCCGAACGGACCATGTCTGGAGTCCCCATCTCCCTGGAGAACAAAGGTCCCTCTGGGGCTCTCCGTGATGGGAAGCCAGGGGTTGCATCCTCATCCCCCAGGCTGGCCGGCTTCATGATTTCTGCTGTGCTGCTGAAGACACCTGGCAGCTGCCTCCCCTGACCAGCCCTGCTGTCCCGGCCGGACTTGGACAGGCAGCTCCTTAGCACCCGCGGGCTTCTGTCTTTCCAGTGTCCGGGGAGGCTACCCAGTCGCTCCATGAACCGCGTCTCGGTGGTGCTGAACCTGACTTTCTTCTTGCAGCTGGCTCGGGGGTCCCTGCTCCTCTTCTTGAGCTTCCGTCTGGATCGTAACAGGTCCTTGATGGCTGTGTCCAGGTCCGCGTCACTGTCCAGCGAGCTGCTCTTGTCTTCCGAACTCTCTTTCTCACCAACACTCTGCCCCTCTTCTGTCTTTGCAGCACCCTTGGGGCCTTCAGACAGGGGCACATCACCAAGCCCGACCGTCTTGGGGGGCACAGGTTGGACTTTGGCATCGCCTTCCCTCGCTGGCAGCTCGCCGGCTTCTCCCTGGTTGGGTGGATCCCGAATATCCTGGCTGGGCTGGGCCCCGCTCTGGCTGCAGTCACCATCCTGGGTACCTTCTGTCACGTCCCTCGTTTTCTTGGGTGTGGACAGCCTCACGGTGTTGCTGCCTCCTCTCCGTTTCCTCTTGCAGCTTGGGGACAGGTCTGGCGTTTTGTGAGCTGCAGGTACCTTGGGGTCGCTGGCTTGGCTGTTGGGGGCAGGCAGCAGCAGCAGGCCCTGTGTAGGTTGAGGGGAGCCTTCGGCCCTGGCCAGCACACTCCCAGATTGCGCTTTGAGGGCCAGAAACGACCGGATTTCCTGTTCGATGCTGTCGTCACTGTCCACGGAGCTGCTATCGCCATCCAAGTGGGAAGGCACATCTGGGGAATGCGAGTGTGGGCTTGCAGAGGGTGGCCTGTCACTGCTCTCCATGGGGGCCGGCAGGATGGTTTTGGAAATGTCCAGGATTGCTTCGGCACATATCAGCTCCGCAGAAGAGTCTGCCCGGCATGACATCCGTTCCCCACACTCGCTCTTGGTGACGGTGTTTGCGGGAGGCGCAGAGGCTTTGGCATCCTTCAGGAGCTTGGAGGAGTGGTCCAGGTCAAGAGCCCCTAACCCAGGGTCCGAGGCTTTGAGGGCTACTGGCTTCTTCTTGCTTGGTGCTCTCCGGGGGGCTTCAGGCAGGACACTTTTCACGCCACTGCCTGTGCCGCCTGCAGGGAAGTCGGGCGCCGTCTCCTCTCTGGGTTGAGCTCTCAGCAGTGTGTCCCCAGCAGCCTCTTTCCTGGTCTTCTCCAGCTGATACAGCTGGATGGCTTCCTCGATGCCATCGTCACTGCTGGAGTCTGACGCCTCGCACACCAGGGCTGGGCTCCTGGCCTGCCTGCCCCTCCGCCCCGCCCCTGCGCTCCTCCTCACACCACCTTTACTCTGTGCTGCTTCTGCTTTGGGTACAGCCAGCCTCGCGCTGCCCATGGTCTCGGGCTCAGGGAGGACCTTAGCCCTGAGGCTCCTGGGCTGGGAAATTACCTTCACTAACCGGGGAGGCTTGCGGAACAGAAACTCCTTAGAGGTTCCCCTCAGATCCTGCCGAGGGGCCGTCTTGATGGGGGGCTCTTTGTTGGTTTTCAGTGTTGCTCTGACTGCGTTTTCATTTGGGTCAGGGTTTCTGTCTACAGATGCCTCACACCGAGGGTTTTCATGTTGTCTTTTCTTGTGCAGAAACTGTTCAATCTCCGCCTGGATGCTCTGCTCGAAGGAATCCTCGCTGCTCACACTGACGGGGGAGGCAGAGCCCTGGTCCTCACCAGCTGCCACAGAGATGCCAGAAATACTGCCCAAGACTGGGGCAAGTTTTGGGGGACCCAGGGCAGGTGGGGTGCTGCTGTTGGGAGGCTCTGGTTTGCATCTGCTGTTGCCAGGAGAGACCCTGCCAGGCTGGGCACCCACAGAGGGAGGCTGCGCGGCTCCATTCCTGGCCTTCAGGTACTCCTGGATGGCCTGCTCGATGTCACGGTCCACAGAGTCATCGCTGTCTGAGTCTAGCCCCAGGGGGCCCAAGTCTGCAGCTGCCTCCTCCCCTGGAGGGCTCCCCTGGCGGGCAGCCAGGCCACAGGCAGCAAATGCGGGGGACTGCTCTTTGCATGCAGAGGGGCTGGTGGCCAGCCTAGCATCACGGCACCTCTCTGCCTTCTGGCTTCTCTGTGCTTCTCTGCGCTCATCGCTCATGCCCAGGGGCACCGTGTCGTGCTGCTGCAGCGTGCTGATGATCATCTGCACCTTGGCACTCACCGAGGCTCTGGCAACGTCTTCTTTCGATTCCGAGAAGCACCCAGGAAACCTAAAGCTCCCAGGTGGGCCAAAGGCCTCCCATTTGGACTGGAGCGAGACCACTGGAGGGGCATTCATGAGAAACATCCTAGCGGGTGTGGCAGGCGCCCAGGGAAGCACTGCTTTATTTTCTGGCCCTTTTCATATCCTGGGAAAAAAGAAAGCACCGTACAGGTCAGGTCTAAGGAAGCAGACACATCAGCAAACATCACGGACAGTCACGGAGAAGCAGCCTTCCCGGGCAACACCAGGTCCAGAGGCCCTGGTGTTCTTGTGCAAGCTTCCTGAGCCTCACTTTCCTCTGCTGTGAAAGGACTTACTCCCTCTGAAGGAAGTCCAGTGTTCCAACCCAGGGTGCTGTGCCCATCCTGGGCACACGTTGCCCCTTCTCAGCCCTTCCTGTCCCCCTGTGAGCTTGCATCCTCTCGGTGACAGAACAGGGGCATTCTTTACCTCCAAAAGTTGTCAGGAGAAGCCAGCTTGATAGGAGTCTGAAAATGTTCCTCTGTACATGAAAAAGTTTTAAAAGCTGTTAGCAAATCCAGGGTAAGCGCGACTTGGTGGGTAGCTTCATTCCCAAGAAGATCAGTGCACTCCTAGAACAAAAAGTTGCACGATGTAAGCAACTCAAAACGTATTTCCCCGAGCATCTTTCATAGCCACCTTGACAAAACCTTGTACATGAAAATGCCAATGTCCTTATCATTATTTTAATCTAATGGGCACAGAAGTTGCCCAAGACCCAATCCCATGATCTTGGTATCCTGGTGTGGTTATTCCCTGATTTCCACTTGGGAAATGTAATGTGAAGATAGGGTCACAGCTGGTCTTTACAGGAAAGGCTTGGGAACCACCACTTCCAGAGAAGTACAGTGTAGATGGTACAGGTCAAAGAAAATGCCAGGTGCACTGTACACCTGCTGATTCTCCTAGACTCCTCTGAAGGGCCCCCCCACCGGGCCCCAAAATTGAGAGTGCAGTGCCATTCGGATGTAAGAGAGCTCCCCAAGACTGAAAATGAAGACAAATAGAGCTCCCCTTCAGTCACGGTGCCAGCGAGGCTGCGGGCACCCTAAATCTCAGTGACTGGGTAGGACCTTGCTGAGTTCCCGCTGGGGATCTGGCCCTCAAACAGGAGCCTCCTTCCTGAGGAGCACCTGCAATAAAACCAGTACCACACCGTGCCCGGGGTGCAGCAAGGTTACAAGCAACTGTGCTGCTCAGAGAGTGAAATGAAAAGGTAAAGATTTCTCGAAATTACTTGCAATTCTCTTCTGGTCCAGGCTCACCTTCCCAGAGGTGTTCGGGACGAGGTCTTTGCGGCTCTTCTTACACTCTTCCTGAGCACCGTATGCAGGCTTTTAGCAGGTTTCTGACAACTGGAATGGGAGAATCTGAGATGCCCAACTTGGAGACTGAAGCTGCAGTTCATTAATGTTTTTCAGGAAAAAGAAAGACCCACCGTTAACATCCCATCTCCAAATTAGATGAGGGAGGACTTATTCACAGCTCATTCAGTTCACAACACTTTTGGGTCAGGTAGCTGAGGCACTAGGGTGTGTGTGTAAACCAGCTACCACTTCTCAAATCCTACATATCCTACAGCTGTGCTTTCCCCATGAAGTTACCTTCCCCAAAGATGCCCCCAGGCACACAGCAGTTGAGGACCAACAGGATGTGGGTAGGGAACTCTTGCCCACTGTGCTGTGGGCATTACTCAAACTGCCAGGGCCAAATTACAGAAACTACAAAACATTTCCATGAGCCTCGGGCTATGGAGGGTACAAGCCAAGAATGCTAATTCCTTAAACAGCAATGTTCCTTCCAACAATGGGCCCAGGAGGAGCTCTGCACCAAGGTGACTTATAGCACACGCAAAGCTTTCTGGGGCAGATCATCCTGTCCCCATGAACCTCTTTTATAGCTTCTAAGTGGCTACAGAGTTGGAACTTCTTGTGAGTAGCTTTCAGAGTTGTCCAAGTATATAGTCCAGCACTGAGGTTAGAGCACTCCAGAGACAGCCTGGGGCTTAGAACAGTCAACCAGGAGAAGACTCAGTTGAAAACGCCCCCGAACTGTACAGAGACAGAAGTATGCTCCAAGGACAGCTGACCCACTTCTTAGTTTCTCCTTGCACCCGGGGGCCCCAAGGCTTGGTCTCCAGGGAGGCTGTGGGGGGCTCCCTGCACCTGTGTCTTAAAGCTGTGGAAGAAGGGGGGTGGTACCAAAGCATCCTCAGTTTAGACACCCACATGACCAGAGAACACCACCAAGCTCAAGCTCCTTTCCTTCTAAAGCTCACAGTTCTAGAAACGCCCCAGACATTTATGACCCTCAAAACAGGTTTAGCTCGTGTTCTTACCTCCCAGGTGGGGTTTTTTCCCAGGGTTAGGGGAGGCCAGGGACTGCATGCCAGGGAGCACCGGTCCAGGGGGGGCGGACAGTAGGAGGCCTCCTCTCCAGCCAACCTGAAGTGGGCATGGCGGCTGGACTCAGTCCCTAGCAGGCCAGAAGTGGGGATTTAACTAGCCTGCCACCCTCTGCTGACCATCCTGCAAAACTGCGGTGTTGTCCCTCTGAGTGCCGTGCAGGGAACTGCAGGCCAGGCCTGGGCTGCCTCTGGCCTTGCGCCCCAAACTAGGTGATCCTTGAGGGGCGGGGAGCTGCAGACTGGTCCCCAGCCAAGTAATCGCCAACACCTCTTCAGGCAGCGAGCCAGGCCTCCGTGCAGGTCTGTGACCTGGAGCGGTTTTCTGGGATCCTTGGCCCAAGAGCTCGGCTACCTTCCCGGAAGCTCCGCCTGGCGCAGGGCGCGCACGCAGCCCCAGGCCGGCCAGGCCCTCAGCCCTTCCCCGAGGGCAGAGGCCGCCAGGACCCGGATCACCGTTCCCGCCCGGGCCTCACCTGCGCCTCACCTGGAGCCGGGCCGCCGGCTCTGGGGGAGACCGGAGAAGGCGGGAGCGGGAGACGCCCCCGGGGCCGCTACTCCCACCCGGGCCCGGCGCCTGTCCCTGTCCTCGCCGCCCTCCGCCCCGCCGGCCGCAGCCTGCACGGTCCCCGCCCGCGTCCCGGGTCGGCGTCTGGGAGGCGCGCTCCGCCCTGGTCGGCGCCGAGGGGCCCGGGGCGCCCGGCCGCACGCGCCTCCCTGCCTCCCCGCCCCCGTCGCCAGGCGCCGTGGGAAGCGGGGGAGGGCGGGGCCCGGCGGGGGCGGGGCGACCCCAGCGCCCCCTCCCCGCCACCTACCCGCGGCGGCGGCAGCGGCGGCGGCGGCCGCGCTCCGGAAGCCGTGCCCAGTGGCTGGGCATCATGGGAATGGCACGGCCGAGTTCCGGGGGAGGCGCGCGGCCCGGCCGGACCCCCGCCCTCGAGAGCGCGCCCACCTGCCGCCGGTCCCCGGGACACCGCCCCCGGGCGCGCGCAGCATCGGAGCCGGGGAGCCGCGCGCTCCGCCCCGGGAGGTCCGCGAGGTCTGTGGCCGAGGCCCTGCTCCAGTGCCGGCAGGGACCCCGCGTGGCGCCCCCCGCCCGGCGCCGAATGCGCGCGGAGCTGCCGGGCCGGCTGCGGCGAGGGCGTGGCGTGGGAAAGCGCGCGGGGCCGCTGGACGGTGACGCTGTTCAGACCGGCCGGGTTGCAAGCGCACCCCAGGTCCCGTGGCTCTCTTGTGTGGCCCTGCCCGACCCTCCGCATCCTGGGGCTGGCGGAGCTGACGTCCTTGCCGAGATTCGCTCAGAGTCCACAGTTGAGCTGGGGCTGCGTGTGCGGTGAGCAGGGTTTTTCTCCCTGGTCCCCATCTCCCAGCTGCACGGGGCTTGCTGACTGTCTCACACACCTCAGCATTCTCGAGCTGCATCCTGTACTTTAAGACAAGGACCTTGAGGCTGAGAAAGGAGCTTGCACCTGCCCAGGGTCACTGAGGGCCCAGTGGAGTAGAGGCTGGAGAAGCCCCAGGGAGCAGATGTATGGGGACACTATCATCTGGGAACACGTCCAGCGGTGAAGCTGGTTCTGTTGGTCTCTGCTGTGACCTGACCATGCGACATGATGATCTCACTCGTTTTATTCGTGCCTGGCCGGCGGCCAAGGGTTGCTGGTGGGCAGGGAAGAAATCAGGCCCACCCTGGGGGCTCTCTGGTGTCCACTCTTGGACCAGGCAGAGAGAAGGGGCTGCTGTCTCCCTTTCCTGTAAAGTGGTAGCATCTGATTGGATCAGAAGCAGAGATTCCTCTTGAAAAAGGGCGGATGTCTCTAGTCTTGCCAGCCTGGGGAATTTGGCGGCCAAGTTTGGGGTTAAGCCCATTAAGACGTTTTAATGCCTCAGTGAATTGTTTTTCGGTGTTTTTCCTCACTGTGATAAATATTCATCAGCGAGATGTGAGGTGGGTGATCTAATGAACAGCATCTCCACCCAGAAATGTGTACTGCTAATATCTGCCATGTTCCTAAGCAGTCTTTTTTGGGGGGGAGGTAGAGCAGGAGGACTCGAACTCAGGACCTTGCACTTGCCAGGCAGGCACTGTGCCATTGATATCCTTGGCCCCCTAAGTGGTCTTTAAGCCAGGGCCGGGACACTACTCTGATGTGCCCTTAGAACTGCTCTCAGCATTTTGCCAGAGTGGATTCCTAGAAGACAGCAGGCCCCTTGCCAATGCCCTCCAGAAATGCAGGTCAGCTTGGGCCAGTTCAACCTGCAGCGGACGGCCAGCCAGCCCTTCCGCCATCCTCGCCTGCCCAGCATCTTGCCAGCCCACTTCAATCTCTGACAATCTGATGAGTAAAGCAAGAGGCTTTGTCACTTTATTTTTAATTTACTTAACCGATGGTGATGTTGAATCTCTTCATTTTGTTATAGACCCTTTGGAAAATTGCCCGGCTGTGTCCTTGGCAATTTTTAACTTTCCTCTTGGCCTGGGTGTCTTTTGCTTATGGGTTCCACGGGCTTTGGCTGGTAAGGATTTCAACCCTTCTCTGCCCTGGGTCTGTGTGAATTGCACGGATAGTTCCTGATTTGTTTGTTCCTTTGACTTTGGGTTTAGTGGTTTTGTTTGCTCCGCTCATGTTTTGTGTGTTTCAGCAGTTGAATCAGTCAGACCCCTCCGATAGTTTTTGGCTTTGGGGGACGGCCTAGGATAGACTTCCCAGTGTCAGGATTTCATAAGCCTTCACTGGTTTAGTGGCAACATTTCGAATTAAGAGAACAAGGAGGTGTGGAGAAGCGGGGCAGACTGTGGGAGTCTGACTCCAGTGTGTGAGTGAGAAGCAGGTTATTGGGAGAGAGCGCTCCTGTTTCTGAGACAGTCCGGCTTCGTAGCCTAGGCTCACCTTGAGCTTGGCCCCTGCTGTCCTCCCACCTCTGCCTCCTGAGCGCTGGGCCACAAGGCTCCCCCTTCCCCACTGGAGAGCACCCGCTACTGTCTGTGCTGCTTTTCTGTGAGGAACCTCCCCTCTGGTGCCGCGTGAGTGCTGCCGGAAGGTGGATCATGTGTGCCCAGGCTCTCTTGTCGGGAGAGCCGCTGGCTTTAGAGTTGAGAGCTCCCTTTTTCCCTAATTCAGCTCCTGGCTGAGCAGATCTGGTGTCACCTGGGACCTGCCCAAAGGTCCCCTTCCCACAGTTCTTGTTATGCTCGTTAGCCACCAGGGAAGTGGGGGACCCCTGCATCTCCCCACTCAGCTGACCCTCCAGGGCCACAGTCTACAGCTCTGATGTCCCCCTGAGCAGGGATAGCACAGAATCCAGCAGGCCAGAAGGCTGCACAGAGGCCTCTAGGGAGGACTGGGCCCAGTGCGGGCCAAGGCACCCCTTGTGGACCTGGTTGTGGTCACTCTGCGTGTGAGGCAGGGTGGCTTCCAAAGAGGTGCCAAGGATAAGAAGAGCCACAGGTCCCCATCTCAGTGGACTCAACTGCAGAGTAAAGTCATGCTCCTAATGAGGGAACTTCTGTGAAGGAAGCTTCCTGTATGCAGGCACGCTGGCCAGAGAACACACTGGAGGCCACTCTGTAGTGGCTGCTGAATGTTACATGCATGTGGCATTTGAATAGCAACCATGCTTGGAGGACTCTGTCTTGAAGTCGTGCTCATGTGGCTTGTCCAAACCTAAGAGGATGCCAGTAAAGGGAAACTAGGACAAATGGGGGTATATTTTGGGCGCTGCCTCTGCTCCAGAGGAGAAGGAAGCCCCACGTGTGGGGAGAGGTCCAAGGATCATGGTGACCTGGAAGACGCTTGAGGCAGAAAGTGAGAAGTGTCTCCAGGGGGTACTTTAAAAAAAGATCCTCCTGCCACTCAGATTTGCGTGACCGTGACAATTCTGGGATAGGATGCCCAGAGGAAGAGGGCACAGTGTTTAGAGCCATGCACATTGCTCTTGTGTATGTAAGTTAACTCAGGAAATATTTGATGGCAGCACATGAGTATGCATGCATGCCAGTGCCGCCTCCTGTCCTGGAGGCCATAGACCTGCCACACATGGGGGAAGCTACCCACGCTCACCCCCTGCCCACAGAAAGGGGAGACAGCCCATTCCACTGAGGTCGGAGGAACTCTGGCCAACTGGATTCGGTCTTTGAAGTTTTGTTTTTGTGAAGTGACATTTAAAACCTTTCCCTTCAGAAATGACTTTGAATGGCTTCATTCAGTTTTCTTACTTGAGCGTTGGGTCCTTCGAATTTTCCTGGCAAGGTTTTTACCTAATTTATTACTCGCGCCTTCAAGGGACAACTTGACTTTCACATGATCTGCTCATAAGGGGCATTTTAGACTAACTCAGAAAGTCAGCCATCCGAAGCAGAATGATTCTGGAGGCCCCACTGTGTCGTCCAGGCAGGACGAGGACACGTCACTTTGGATTTATTCACCAAGCATCAGGATACTTTCCAAGTTGGGGTTTGAGCAGAAAATTACTCTCTCATTGATTCTTTGCAAAGAGTGACTTGGCGAAGAGCCTCCTCCTCATCAGGCAATTCTGCAAAGCGTGCACCTGTGGAACCTGGGCACGAGGTTCTAGGGGGATAGACAGGGCAGCCCCATGCCAGCGTCAGTAACCTGCAGGGCAAAGGCAAATGTGACAAGGCCAAGAGGACTTGGCACAGCTCAGACCTGGACAGGGTCTGGGATAGAAGCCCAAGTGTCCAGGGGAGTGGTGTTTGAGGGCTTGTCCTGGTGTCCCTTGGGAGGGACTGAGCTGAAGGGGGGCAGATGTAATGCTTGGGGACACCACGGAGGCCCCAGTTGGCCCCCGGGGCTCTGAGGACCCTCAGTGAGGCAGGAGGCTTTTATATCCTTGCATAGTGTCCACTGGGTGTGGTGCCCCTGGATGGAGGTGGCCACTGCCCAGGAGGGTGTGTCTGGGGCCCACTGCAGTCCCAGCTGTGTGTTGGTGGCAGGCTCTGCTCCTGGTCACCAGGGACCCCTGGGTGCCTCGCCACTGAAGGGGGGGATCTGGGCAGCTGCCCCGTGTGCTTCTTGGTGTCCTTTCCAAAGCAACCACTGCAGCTTTTACTTCAGAAACTGCCAGGAGTGGGCTCCCTCCGTCTTTAGGCAGAGTTTGTTAGCTGATTAAATCCTTCTCAGACATTTCATCCAGGCTGCATTCGGAGCAAGAGGCTGCAGAAAATGTGTCAGGGACTGGAAGAGGATAAGAAACTTGAAATAAAAATTTATTCAAAAACCTGAAATAGCAATTTAACAGACAGGATGGAAACGGTGACAGATGCAACGTAGGAAAGGAGCTGGCCAGCTCGGCACACGGAAGTTTCCACG